AGGAGCAATCGTGTCCAGAACATCCAAAACACTAGAGGTGACAGAGTTAAGTAATTCATCCACAGTAGAACACAACGTGTTATCAAAGTTTATCATCCCCATGAAAAGTTCACCTGTATTTTTGTTTATGTGTCTTCTTCTTCTAACAATTGAGGATTCAGCTCGTGCTTTACTATTGAGACACATATCAAAAAATACACAGAAATGATCTGACAGAGCAACATTGGCCACATTTACATTTGAGATATTAACCCCTTTAGTAATTAGCAGATCGAGAGTGTGTCCTCTGCTATGGGTGGGGCCACTCACATGCTGAGTGAGACCAAAGGTCTCCAGCACAGAGCTCAGCTCTTTCGCGTATCTATCATCAACGTTATCTACATGTATATTAAAATCACCTATGACGACTAAACTATCAAAGTCTGTGCACACTACTGAAAGCAACTCGGTGAAATGATCAGTGAAACTATGACATGACTGTGGCGGCTTGTACACAACAATAATAAGAATAGAAGATTGTTTTTGTTCTATTTTAAAAGAGACATACTCAAATGAGGAAAATTTCCCAAGAGGTACTCTATGGGAGACAATACAATCTTTAAAAACTGCTGCTGTGCCTCCTCCTCTTTTATTTTCTCGAATTTCTGATTCAAATTTGAAATTTGGTGGTGTTGTTTCTATTAAGACTGCATTTTCTGTATTATGGTCAAGCCAAGTTTCAGTCATAAACATAAAGTCAAGATCATAAGAACAGATAAAATTATTAATTAAAAAGGATTTATTGCATAGTGATCTGACATTAAGCAGAGCAAGGTTAAAAATAATATCAGTGTCAGTGGGTTTAGTTGATTGACTACAAAGAATTGGAATTAGATTTCCTGAGTTGGACCGTCTAACTGCTGTCCTTCTGTTATATTTGTGTTTATTCAAATTAAAACACATTTCTGAGCCGGTGCGAGGAACACACACAGTCTCTATTGGTTTAAAAAGTGAACTCTGTTTTACTTTGTTAAGTTCCAGATGCATGACTGAGTAAGTGCCGTTCAGTGGCAGGACTGGTATTACACTGCCAGACGGACAGGGGTCAGTGTTTGCACCACAGTACTCACCCGGTGCTGGTAAGGAGGAGGAAGGTGGTAGTGGGGGCCGAGGGGCCTCGGATGTAAACAGTCACGCCCCCCTCGGGGAGCACTGAACAACATGGCGTAAAAAGTCCATCAATAAACTGGTACCGTATCTGTTCGGGTGCAGACCGTCTGGACGATAGGCCACGTGACGCTTCCAGAACAGGCCAAAGTTGTTCACAAAAACAAAGTTAAAAGTGCTGCATGTAGACTGGAGCCACATATTCAGCGCCACAACGCGACTGTACAAGCAGTCTCCCCGGTTTACAGTCGGGACTGGACCAGAGATAAAAACACACAACCCAGAGGACTGGAGGAGGCGGAATAGATCCATAAAGTGCTTCTTTGTGACCTCGGACTGCTGCAGCTTCATGTCGTTGATCCCCACATGCACGATTACCTTTGAAATGGTATCAGGCAGGGAGTGAAGCAGAGGAGGGAGACGGATGAGCAGATCTGGGACAGTAGCTCCAGTAATGCAGTGAGTGACCGCGTTAAAAAAGCGGACGTGTCTCACGATGGAATCTCCAACAATCAAAGTAGTCGGGGCGAAGAGTGGACGTAGCCGCGGAGAGGGCGCTCGGTGTCCATGGCCGGAACCAGCGGGCTCATCCAGGGATGGGTCCGAACCAGGGCGCTGCTGAACACATGGAGAGGAGTGGGGGTGTTGATTCCCAGCTCCGGGCAACCCACGCTGTGTGCACGGAGAGGCTGGAGCAGCGAGAGGAGCAGGCTCGGGTCGCTGCTGCTGACCCGGTGAAGGTAAGTGGTGGTGATGCACTGGGGTCAGAGAAGGGGAATGACCACTCTTTCGTCTGAGGACAGCTTCCTTTAAGAGTGTCTTTCTCGCAGTGGACCTGGATCCACGGACAGCAGTAGAGTTTGCTGCAGAGTCCAGGGGTTCTGCTGAGGGGGCTGGGATGTCAGCGGAGAGTGCTGCATAGCGGTTTGAAAGGCTCAGGACATGGGCCACGGCGCTGGATGGCTCCTCGCAGTCCGCAGGCTCTTTATTCCGAACCGGGCACTTAGGTGTAGAGCAAGAGGGCCCAGAGCTGACAGATCTCTCCCACACGACAGTGTCACAGTATGCAGCGCTCAGTGACATAAGCCGTGAGTGCTGCCCGCCAGCGACATCAAAGAGTTTGGACACGAGTGACTGTTTGTCCTGCAGCTCTGCAGTGAGGCGAAGGACTTCTTTACGGAGGTCTGCAATAGTGGCACGGTCCCTCTCACGAAGCTCCAATGTGAGGCGACTAATGTCGTTCGTGGTCATTGCAGTGTCACTTTCCATGTCTGTGGTGCGCTCGTGGTAGCCTCCGAGCTAGCGCGTTTCGATTGGGTCTTTGTGTTAAAAGACGTGATGCTCTGGAACCATTGCATTTAATATAATAAAACACTAGAGTGTACAAAAGACACTAATACACCGTAAAAACGTGTTTAAAAGGCTTTAAAAGGCTTAAAAAGGGTAAACAGAGCAGAGACGTCAAAACGCGTGCTCACTCACACCTGTCGTCGTTATTATTATTATTGAGTGGAGGTGCCTTTTTATTCAACAATAGAAAAAGGCTGAGGTGGAGACACAGGAATCCCAAAGAGTTCCGAGTTGCTTCGCTCTAATTACATCGTTTTAAGTCTGGGGGGACCTCCAATCAAGAAAGACTGTATAGTAAAAGGATCCATCCCAAATCCATCATTGTCAGAGAAACTTAGGAGGACAAAAAGGTGTGGCTCAAACTCAGATGAAAGGATATAAAGTAGGTTCAGTCCTACAGATGTTTTGTTGATTTTAAAGATGTATTTTGTAGAGGACCTTGTGAATATTCAGCTCTGATATCAAACATAAGTTCCATCTATATTATGTCAGGTTTATTTCATTTATAAAGAGTTTATATCGCTAAAACAAGCACAAAATATGAGAAATTGTCAGAAGGACAGATTTGTGAATCAACTGGCCCGTTGTTATCTTAAATCTGTCAAATTAAATGCCATACTCATAGTGTGAAACATTCTAGAGCGTGGCAATCCATGAGAAATGTTACATAATGACACACTTTATAAAATGTGTGTCATTATGTAAATGTTCAACATTTTCTGTATTTGCTGCCGGTTACTTCAGTCATTCAAACTAACATTTACATGGTAGGTGGTCTTACAGACATGCTTGGCTTCTCTCAACAATAGAAACCCTTTAAGTGTGGGCAAATGTTGAACTTGTTTCTAAGTGGGTCAAAGTGTAGAAAATACCAAAATATCCAGTTATATGTGAAGCCTAGCACAACAGAAAGGATACAGTTACACAAGATTTACATTTACAGTTTCCCAGTGCAGCTGTGGAGGAATGATGGATGGCCGTCAAGAACACAAGTTTAGCTTTTGGAAAGATGGGTGCAAACGTATGAACGCAAACTGCAAACTTTCTACTTTGCTTAGTCTACAAGTAAGGTCAGAGATATTTATGTTTTGGATACGTTTTCTCGGATAACCTTATTCTTCCAAAAAATACATTTACCAAAATGTTTGTTGTTGAGCAAAAGTTACATTTCTGAATAAATCCAAACCATGTTGAGGTGTTCATGCTAAAATATGTTTTTCCATACATGTAAGAGCTCAGTGAGTCACTGTTTGACACTTGCTGATTGACTGAGTGACTCTGTTGAAAAATCTGATCAAAGCAGCCAAACATACATGCTTGTGAAAACCAGAGATAGAACCAAACTGTTTAGAGAGCAAGGAGCTAGATGGATTTTGTTTACACGAGTTATTTTTTGTGGTTTAAAAAATAGGTACAGCTTTAAGTAGTTGATGACATCAAGTTATTTTAGGGAATGAGATGCTGAGCTTTAAATAAGACACAAATTACTTATTCAATTGGTAACTTAGGATAAAGATTACTTCACTGACTCCTTTTACAGTTTTATTTCCCATTATCTTCAAAATATTATTTTATTTTAATGTTTTAATTTTGATTCTGGTGTTTGCTTTATGTGATGATTTGTGCCTTGGGTGATGTGGACTGTGAACCGCTTTGTGTTGCCCTGTGTATGAAAGGCGCTCTACAAATAAACTTTGATTGATTGATTATGCATTCAGAATTAACTCTCAATTGGCAGCTTGAGTCAAATACATAGAGATACATAACAGTTTTCGCCACACCCCCCTTTTTAGTCAACTCATTGCATGAATAGTCAACTAAGAAGGAGAAGGAGTGTGCAGAATAGCTGTGATTGTATAATTTTTGTGCAATCCTGTTATAAATGAGGACAAAACCTGTTTTATGAGAGTTAAAAGGGAGAATGTAATGCACCGGTGATGTTTAGTTAGTATCATGTGAACCCAAAGCAAATGTATCATGTTGGAGATGAAAAAGGGCTGCCTTATCTTGGACATGGCTTAGGTAAGGACATAGTTTAGCCCTTGTTCTGACAAACTTCAGATCTGATTTAGACTTACTTTTGACCTAGTTTAGTGCTGGTCAAAACCTAGTCTAGACCTCGCTTTGAAACAAATTACATTTAGTTGGAATAATTTACTTCAGCTATGGTTAATACCGGATTGGGTTATATTTTACACCTTGTTTAGTGCTGCTCTGAACCTAGTCTAGACCTGGTTTTGACCCAAATTTCATGTGGTTGGCATGATGTACTTCAGCTTGTAAATGATATGTTAGACCTAGTTTTTGGTCTGAACCACATCTACCTGATATGAACTTACTTTAGAGCTAGTTTAGTAGTTGTTTGAACAATATCTAGACCTGGCTTTGAACTATATTACATGTGATTTGCATGACTTATAACTTATTTTTAACCCAGTCTGTGCCGGATTTTGACAGATTTACATCTCTGATCCATACCCAATAGATCCATGCTCCATACTCACAGTGTGACGGTCCTGTTGGGGAAAGACTCCGGCGGCAACACCTGGTGCAGATCCATATTACTGCACACCACTCTCCGGTCGGACTGAAGGCTTTTCCCACCGCCTTTGAAGCGTTCATCATATGATTTACAATCAGATGATACAGCACAGTCAACCAGCAGCAACAAGCCCACAAACAACAGCCAGACTCTCATTTTCACACGTGATAACAAACAAAGCGCCGCATTTAGGAAGACATTAACACTTTACGATGCTAGTGGTTAGCTTGGGCTTTGTTACAAGTCCAACTCCAACATAATAACAACATAATAACCATTCTCGCCCAGCTTTGTGGACACCCATGCTTGTCTATTCGTTGAAAGCATACAAAGAAAAATCCAATATCTTTCGGCAATGCAGCTGGTAGCTTCAGTAATCCACACTTTGCGTCTGAATCAAGTTGCCCAGGAGTTGTAGAGAGCTTCTTTGTTGGGAATGCCGTGCCTCCTGATCAGAATCTCCTTCCTCAAAACACGCCACTGTTATCCACCACATGAGCACAAGAGAGTTGGTGATGTTACATGGCATTTTAGAAACACATCTTTGTATTTCCCCGCACTTTGGCTTTATATCATTGCTCGACGCCAGCTGCAACTTTACAAGGATCCAACAACTCCAGAAATGTCGAGAAGGAAGCAAGCATACAAAAAAAACATTTAAAAAAAGCAGAAGAGACTAGGACGGATAATTTAGCATTTCTTTCACGTTTTTTTTCCTCCAAAATTCCCAAACTTCTCTGTTCATTGAGTTGTCCTCTTCCCGTGGTCCTGCCCTTCGGTCCCAGTTGTTTTAACAAATCAACATTCTTGTAAGCCACTTCCGCCCTGGTTTTCAGAATAAAATAAACACATTTGTCACTTTCGACAACTTTTGTCGTTTTGCAATAACAACAATCGCAACACATTGTCCATGTATTGCCCGTGTTTATAGATACTCTGAGACAATCTTTTCTTTTAACGTGTTGAAGAAGTTGTGTTTCGTGAGAAAGCATCGACAAAGGACAATATTTTTTTTTTATCAAGGGCAGTGTGCGTTTTAAAAAAAAACATCATTTATTACCCATAGTCAAACAAATAAACACAAACAACAAATTAATAAAGAAAAAAGTAGCAAGGTTAATAGAGAAATATAGTGGTTGTCATTCGTTTATCCCGCCGTAACTATGGAAATTAGCACGTCCTGAATGGCTGTAGTACTTCCGCTTTGGTTTTCAAAATAAAATCATGCACACGCGACAACATTTTGAGAACTACAACTAAAATACTTTACTGTCAATTGTAACCCCGATAAATCCATAACTATAACGCTATAATTATAATAATAACAACATTGCCTTGTTTCTGTCCGAAAACAATCAACTTTTTGAGAAACTCAGGAAGTGAACAACTTTATTTTGTTCACTTCCTGTTTTCAGCTTCACATTTGGTGATTTTTTCTACACAGCATGGAGAGGAGCGTGTGTCGTGTTGTTTACAGTCTATGGTTGTACACATGGTTGTACAACTGTTTTAGTACGAATCTATATCTTTCTGAGTATTCTTTGTTCAAATATGTTCCCACGAAACTTTGCCTGGGGAGCAGCGACCGCGGCGTATCAAATTGAAGGTATGTAGCTTCAATACCTTTTATTGCACGTAAGATACCCTCTTTATTTTCCACTTTTTAACATGTTTACTCATTCCCTGTCTTTTTGCACACCCCGAGTGATCTGATCCAAATTCGGTTCCAAATGTAACATGTACATTGCTCCACTGTGAGTTCAATAAAGTTTTATCATTCTATTTAAATAATTAACAGAGCGCAATATTAGACAAACACAAAAGTTGAGTGATTTGCATAATTTTAGGCTAATATCAAGACAGCAAATAGTCAGTTTACGTTAAATTGGCTAGGGTTTGCGTAGTTTTTGTTTCATAAATAATACGTATAATTTATGTACATGTTATTTGTCTAGAAGTCCAGTTCGAACAGAAAGAGTCTCGAAAACATATTGCATAGTTTGAAACTTGTTCTATTGTTCTTTATTTCAATCTCTTTCTGAAAAAAGCTGATCTACTGTAAATAAATGTGTGCATGTGAATCTGTTGATGTAAAAATGCAGGCACGTGAAAACCAGTGATAAAACCAAACTGCTTTGATGTATAGGAACTGACATGACTTTTATTATAGCTTGAAAACAATTATATTTGAAAGTTTGGTACCTCAGCTTTAAACCAATGTCAGCAAGTGAGCGACCGGTCAGGCAAAACAAATAGCTCCACAATCCTTGCACATGTGTCATAAATTCACTCTTAAAACAATCACCTGCGACCAATTTCTCTTGCCCTTTCTCTAATTTTATACATCCAAGTATTCTCTTTGGTCTTCCTCATTTAGCACTTTCAGCACACATGCACATTCAAATAAACTAACACTATGAGGTAAGTTATGCCCAAGGGAACAATGGCAGTTTGGAAGCTTGAATCCTACTAAAGCCAAACTTCTGGGCAATAAGATAACTCTACCATTTCAGCCAATATGCCTCTGGGAAACAGTAAAAGGTTGCATGCAATCACTTTAACTGCATTGCAAAGTCAATTAATTTACTACTGGGACTTGTTTAACAGTCCCAAATGAAAGCTTGATTTGTCTTTGTAATTATCCCTCTCAATGAAACAATTTGTGTGTGTTTAGGTGGCTGGCAGGCAGACGGCAAGGGAGAGAATATCTGGGACACGTTCAGTCATGAGACCGGGAGGGTGTTTGGGGATCATAACGGGGATGTGGCCTGCAACAGTTATGAGCTCTGGGAGGAAGACCTCAGGTGCATCCAGCTGCTTGGACTCACGCACTATCGCCTCTCCATCTCATGGGCTCGGCTGCTGCCCGAGGGGACCACAAGACACGTCAATCATAAAGGTATTCACTTAGGTCTGTTATGTATTTCATTGATAGATTTGGACTGTGTGTTAAATTGTGGCTTCTTCAACATGGATTTTACTACACAAGGACAGACTATACTGGCACCACTAGCATGTGCTAAGCCAGATACCGTCAGACGGCGGCGGCACGGTGGCTGAGTGGATAGCACTCTCGCCTCTCAGCAAGAAGGTCCTGGGTTCGAATCCCGGTCGGACCAGGGCCTTTCTGAGTGGAGTTTGCATGTTCTCCCCGTGTCTGCGTAGGTTTCCTCCGGGTACTCCGGTTTCCCCTACCACTAAAAATATGTCCAATAGTTCTAACATGTGCCTCCTGTACTGGCCCTGCTCCCATCTCTGTGTGGAGTGAGAGACAAATGCCCAAAAATTAACAATTGTAAACCGCTTTGAGACTCAGATCTGCAGTGAAAAGGCGGTATATAAATAAAAACTTACTTACTTACTTACTTACATCTGAAGCAAGGCCTGGTTAAGGCTTCAGTATTAGATCATCACCACCGTGTATGGAGTGAATTAATGATGCCACGTGAAGCGTCTAGGAGTGTCAAAAAAGGACTGGATGAAGCTGATTTATTATTGTTATTATCATATTGGTGAAATATTAGTGATTCAATATTGTCTGCAATGGTGGATAAAGTAGCTTAAATATTCCTCAATTTGGATTTGTATTAATGTTAAATTATTTAAGTATTTGTAACTATGACAAATAGTAACATCTACCATCCACTATTTAGTGCAATAAACATGGCCAGAAACCAATGTATAGTGTAAAGTCTAGAAGATACAGTACTTATCTCCAGTAGGCTAGATTACTGTAGTTGCCTCCTCACTGGACAACTGCAATATAATCAAAATGCTTGAGCTTGAGTCCTGACTAGAATCAGGAAGTTCATAAGAAACCATACCTTTGTTCTTGTTCTTGGGGTGCTCAGCTCCTATCCTCAAGAACAGGAGCTGTCAGAACAAAATCCCAGAATAATAATGGGCTCAGGTCTCTGCACTGGATATTTTTTGCTTAGGGAAAAGACTTTAAAGCGGCTCTACTTGTGTAGAAGTCTTTCTTTGTGTACAACCTTATGCAGAATGGTCAACCAAGTATGATGTATTGTGTTATGTGTTTTTCCTATTGATATCTATACTGAACATATGTATCCTTATACTGGCATTATTTGTCCTCAGGTGTGGAGTACTACAATGAGGTGATTGACGATTTATTGGCTGCTCATGTGACGCCAATGGTCACGCTTTACCACTTCGACTTGCCCCAAGCTCTCCAGGATGTGGGCGGCTGGAAGTCATCAAACATTGCTGCACTTTTTGACAGCTATGCCCGCTTTTGCTTCGAGACATTTGGCGATCGCGTCAAACTTTGGATCACAATCAACGAGCCATACGTGTGTGCCAAACTTGGTCACGAAGACGGCATTCACGCTCCTGGACTGAAAGAACCAGGAATAGCTGCATATCTAGTGGGTCACAACATGATAAGGGCCCATGCGTTGGCTTGGCACAGCTATGAAACCATCTTCAGGCCAAAACAGAACGGATTAGTCTCTCTTGCACTCAATAGTGACTGGTTAGAGCCCTTAGACATACATTGTGCAGAGGATGTTGCAGCTACTGAACGCCTTATTGCTTTTACACTTGGCTGGTTTGCTTGGCCTGTCTTTGTAACAGGAGACTATCCAGAAGTGATGAGAACTTCTATTGAATCCAACAGTAAAACACACGGTTACACTGGCGAATCGCGACTGCCGTTTTTCTCCAAAGATGAACCTTCTGTTTTGGGAACGGCAGACTTTTTTGCTCTGAACTACTACACGTCACGGAAGGTTAGGTCAGCGTGTGGGGATTTTAATGCGCTGAGTATGAAAAGTGACCAGAACGTGAAGGAAGTCTTGCATCCATCTTGGCCGATCTCCGGAGTGTCCTGGCTTGCAGTGGTGCCCGATGGGTTGAGGAAACTTCTCAGCTACGTCAAGGTGAACACTGCATCGCGGTTGAAAATACTTTTATGCCAATGAATAATTGTATCAATTTGGTCACTGGGTCAAGGCGTTAACTTGGCAAACCAGCTGGGCACTGTAAAAATGGGAATTTATTCATACATTCAGAGCATTATTAAAGCTGAGGAGTACCTAACTCTTTTTGGTTTCATAAATACAACAGAATGAGTCTCTGTGGACATATCTTACCCCAACATAAGATAAGAATTCCTTTATTCGTCCCACAGTGGGAAATGTCATGCTGTCTTCGCCTTACATTCTGAGAGCTGATTGTGTGAGTGAGGGCTCTTAAGCATTGAAAAAGTTCAAAAGTGAAAACTAGTATTTTTTTGTGGTTTCAAAGTTAGATACTACAGCTTGAAATTTTTCAGTGGGATTGAATTACTAGTGAATATTCATAGTAGTGTCATCCATCCATCCATTATGCTCCCCTTAATCTATTTCTGGGTCGGGGGGTTGGCAGTCAGAGATGCACCCAGTACACAGAGCACCAGTGAGTCCACAGGAGCCTTGATCTTTCAGAGGGGGCTTCAGGCAAAGTGGGGTTAAGTGTCTTGCCCAAGGACACAATGACCGAAGTTATCAGTGGAAGTCTTGGGGTGGGCTCGAACCCACGACCTTCAGGTTCTAAGGTTGTTGCTCTACCAACTGAGCCACTGTCGCCCACTCATATTAGTTTCACATCAGCAGAAACAAAAATGAGAAAAAATGTCATGTAAGAATACAGTACATTTAAAACTTATAACGCATCACCTTTTGATCTAAGAACATTATTTCTGGGGGACCTTGGAGTTAGATTTTTTTTTTTTAAAGAACAGTTTCTATTATCAAGATCTTTACAAAATGTTATCGCTACTTTCAAACACTGCAACATATCAGGCGGTAATGTTATGGCTGATGGGTTTTTTCGGGTACTGAAATTTGCGGATAGTTCTAATTGGCTTCAAACAGAAAGTCAAAACAAAGCCACTTTATTTGACAAATTCATTCTCTTTTAAATGTCGCTCCCTCTTCCACAGTTAAACTCCAGTGATCGATGGGAAGACGCGTCGCCCTCAGCTAAATGAGCGAAATATCTGACATTTGCTTAGCATCTTGCATTGATTTTGTATGCGGCAAACACCTTTTTAACACCCCCAGAAACGCACTGATGCTTCATTTGCGCTGTCACATTGAATGAAATAGTTACTTCGCTGAAAAGTGTTTTGCCAACGACCAATTTCCTGCTGTTGTGCCTTGTCACAGGCCATTACCTCAAGCTCGCCAGCGTTGAATCGAAGCTAAATGGCACACTGTAGACCAATCTTTCTTTCCGTAGGCGGCGGCAGGTGAGCTGATATGCTTTGTTTGTTGATAACATTTGTCCCGCTGATTTATTCTCAGAACAACATTGGTGATCAGGCCATCTACATTACAGAAAACGGCTTCGCACAGACGGGGTTGTTAGAGACGGAGGATGTTCAGCGTGCAGACTTCTACAAGCAAACGATCAGTGAAGTGGCAAAAGGTAAAAGACATGAAATCAGATCCCAATCAGTGTCAGAATCAATGTGATTATAAAAGCCGTTAAATCAAAATGAGGTTATTCACTTACGGCCTAATTCACTGTTACCTGGAGACGGTTTAGGCGTATTATGAGGTTTGTAAATTCTTAAATTATGTCATTTTTGTGAAAGGATTCAACTTTTATCTGAACCATAGATTGGTAGTACCTCATTACTAGTTAAAGCTGGAGTATCTAACTTTTTTGCTGTTTCAGGAATACGTTTAGTACGTCCTCACATAAAGAGTGTTTTTGCTCAAGTTATTTTTTGTGGCTTCAAACTTGAGGTTCTCCAACTTTAATGTAATTTGTCTGTTATTTTTGTGGTGAATAAGAAATGTACTCCTAGCCTGGTTCTCCCACTGTTTAAATGAATTTTAAGGAACAGTTTTAATGAATTTTATAAATAAATTTGATATCTTCCCTCTCCATTTCGGGCTTTGACGGCAAACAGAGGAATCCCTAAAATGTATGTGTGAATGTATGTAAGTTTGTATTGTATAATATGTATTAATTGTAAATAACAATAATTGTAAATAAAATGACCACGTCTACATCACACAGAAAAGAAAATAAGATTCAGGATCAAGATTCAGTTTATTTGCCATTTGCAGTAAAACCACATTGGAAGAACTGTGCAAGACTACTCCAGGGTGCATCAGACAGAGCAGACAGTACACACCAGCACTCTTGCTTTCAAAATATAATCCAAGCACAAAGCAAATCTATTACGTCATCGTGTTTTGTGCCTTGCAGCTATCGGCAAAGATGGCGTCGATGTCCGTGGATATTTTGCCTGGTCGCTGATGGACAACTTCGAATGGGCCGATGGCTACAGTGCACGATTCGGACTGTTTCACGTTGACTTTTCAGATGAGAAGCGTGCGCGTACCATTTACCACTCTGGGAAGGAATATGCAAAACTTGTTAAAATGTATAGCTCCTAGCATCCATGTTCAGCTCCAAACTTATACTTAAAGCTGTGGTACCTATTTCTTTCATAAATAATTTATGTAAATCCTTGTTGTTTGTCCCAAACGTCTTGCAAAGTGAAATTTTGTGAATAAATAATATGTATACATGTTTGGCAATATTCAGTGCATTTCTTGGGGTGCAAATTTCCACATTCCATTATATTTTTACGAATATTTGTATCTCTGCAATACTCCTTCCAAAACTCCCACCATGCATAGGGGGACATGGATAAACTTGAGTTCCACTAAATAGAAGTAAAATTTGCATTCTAGCCTGCACAATTCTTCCAGAGTCTTCCCAGGAGATTTATAGAGTTGGGCTCCTCACTCATAGGTCTAAAGGAGCTGTAATGCTTCCAGATCAGGCAGCAGCGAGTTAACTGTGTGCATGTGGAATGGGTCTTAATGACTTGAGTAGATCTGCAAATAAAGGCAATTTTAATCGGTTCCATTTACTTTTTTTTATATAAGGCAGGGAACATTTCAAATCTCAAATTGAAATGCACAAAGCAATGTCTCTCATAGCTTTGAATCTAATCTCTGACACATGCGCTAAGTAGATAAACATAGACTACTACTCACTTAAAACTGGGGTACCTGATTTTTTCACTTTTCTGTCTGAAAAAAGCTGAAGTAAAGCTGTGACTGAGGCCAAAATGACATGTACTGTATGTTGAAAAAGCAGTGCTGGAACCAAACACTGTAAAGCATATATCCGTGGAATTTATTATACATTTCAGGTATTCCAGCATTGCTATACACACATAATACTAAAAAAAATATCTACACAAATTTATGAATTAATTATGTTCACGTGGACTCTTTATCTTGAGAATTTACTTTGGTTTTTCATGTTTCAGCGTGTGAAATCATTTATTCAGTATAAAATGTATGGACAACATGTTTGATGAGAGAGGTGATACTCTTCCATCTTATATTTGAAAATGGAAAATACACTCCTCTTTTAGAAATCTATATAAAGGCTGTAAACATTGTAATGTGACTGGAGAAATCCTGAAAACTAACTAATCTTGTTGCCACAGCTGCTGGAACCACAAAAGGCATCTGCCCTCTCTCCATAATAATGAAGATTCTCCGTGACCTGGATGGAGCTAAAAACAACTCCAGGTAGGATTGAAGGAACAACATTAGAACATGATTAAAAACAAATGATAAATAGAATAAATTGCAAAAAAAGCTAATTTAAAGAAAACTCCTTGAATACAAAAATAAAATCCATTCTATCAGAAGCAAAAAGGTTATCTAGTCTCATAAACACACTCTCTCTCTCACACCAGACACATTTTGTAGATGACAAAAATATGGAGACGAAAAGCAACAGATGCCCGCCACAGGAAGAGAGGCTAATGCCATAATGTGACTTGGACAGCTGTGCAAACTGCAATTTGAGGAAAAGAGGCCAATGAGCGAGAATCCGCCCTACAGCTACATTTAAAGTAAGATTAGTTTGTTTCTCTGTGCTGTGAACATCTGGAAATGATTGAACTAATCTATGACATTCAATGGGGCAATAATAAAAACTCAGCACAAGCAGGAGAGGATGAGCAGAGCCACTGGTGACAAGTCAGTGCTCAGACTTGGCCTACGCTGCCATCATGTGCTGTAATGGGGAACTACACTCTTATTCCTCAGTCCAGCTCATTATACAGTGTTGCAAAAATGATGTGCTGCTGTATTCCGTTCAAGCCTAACCACAATACATCACACATTTACCGCAATTAATATTTATGCTGAGATGTGAAGGCAAATGTCATTTATATTGGGTGCTGGGAGACTTTGTTTGCATTTATAAGCACAGTGTATGGTGCCATCCAGTTGGCTGTGCAAAGTGTTTTCAACAGATGTGAGTAATACCCTCGCGGCCCTCCTCCATCTATGTCACACCGGGTGAGATTCCCCTTTGTCTTATGATGAATAACAATCTTTTGTGCTACCATGAATAATGCCACTGCCTTTTGCGTTCTTCTCTGGGCCGCTCAGAGCACAAAGCCCAACCACATTTCATACTTTTGCAGCTCTAATGAAGTTGATCTAATATCTGCGCTTGTGACACGGTGGCTAGTGACACTAGTGACAAATCGCAAACCATTAAACACTTACTAAAGTCGTACAACAAGCACTTTGTGAGGCTGCGGTTTGAGGATTCCAGAACATATGTGCCACCTGTGTTGGGGACAAAAACGCTCTGAACTGCCTTTTCAATGATTCATAATTTTACAGCTGTGGGAGTATGAATTCCCAGTCTATGGTCTATCCCACTAATGCTTTTCTAGTATTCTATTGATGGATTTCTTGCAGTTGCAGCCCCTAAATCGTTAAATTGAACCGTATTTTTCTGTTCTGTATGTAATAGTATGCATTATTTTTCAACAATAATGCTGTATATACAAATAGTCCGTCCCCTTGGCATAATGGTAAAGCCAGATCCGGTCAGATCTCTGAAGCAGGGCAGGGCTTGTGGTGGGAGTCCTCTGAGATCACCTTTTGTACCCTTTGTCATGCCACCTTGAGTGCCCAGAAAGTCTCCATATAAATAAAATGTTTATTACAGTGGAGCGGCTGCGGCTGTAAAGTGCTGTTGTTGTGTCCTTCGGCAAGACACTTCAACCATATTCCCTTGTATGAGTCTGGTGTGTGTGTGGATGGTTGGTGGTGGTCAGAGGGGCCGATGGCACATACTGGTTGCCTCGCTTCTGTCAGTGCGCCCCAGGGCAGCTGTGGCTACAGTTGTAGTTTGTGTATGGAATGAAAGCAAAATGAAATGTGAGGCACCTTTGAATCGCTAAAAAAGCGCTCTACCGATGTGACTCAACTGGATATTTGCAAAAGATAAAATGTTTTTTAACAAAGATAAAGACAGCAGGTTGTTCACAACATTTAACTACTCTTTATATATATATATCTATATTATAATATAATAATGTAAAATATATTGTTGTATATTTTCCATGTATTATGAAATCTTGCCCCTTCAAGCTCCACTGATGTAATGACTGTGCAAGAATTGACTTATTCTAATGAAAATATTACAATGAAAATGAATGAAAGTTCAGATATCTTAAGAATATTATTAAGTAAAACAAATACATATCTTCTTGTGTGTATTAACACAAGCAGGTTGTGTGTTTTTAAGCGCATTAGCATGGGCCACCGGCTAATTGGTGACATATAACGTTCCCTAAATGGCATTTAAAAATCTAAAGAACTTGAATTTGCTGTGACTAAACCTGAAGATTTCCTGCTACTGCATGGTACACAGCTCCAACATTAAAATGACCAATCTGTGTCAAAAAGATCCCTTTGAAATATATTCCCATTTCAAGTTGGCAAGCTTTAAAACATTAATTAGCATTTAAATAATTCACTCAAGCACTTTAACAGCGCAACGACCAATATCCCACTTCAATTCATTACTGTGGAGCTTGGATTTATTGTGATTAGACTGTGATGTGGGAAGTCTCGAAGAAACCGTTTCTAAATGTGCTTTCCAATTAAGTCCCAAATCTATCAAGTGTATAGATAAGTTGCTTTTGACAATGAATTAGTATGTTTAATTGTAACGCTCAATCACACGCACTTACCCTGCAGGAACATTCTGGCAAATTGCCGAGAGAGACCCATTTGACCCAACTTAAGTCATTACAGTTTGACGTGCATGATGAAATATTAACCATAGAATTCATTGACTCACTATGAATTGGTTGAATTATTGATTATACAAAATGGTATGTATTGTAGCAGGTGCAAAAGGATCTTACTTGCAGCAAATAATTACAGTTTTTGATTTACTAATTGCCTTCATATGCACATTCCCCGGAGTAATGGTATAATTAGACTGTTGCCGCTACATCAAGATGAAAATGCGTCAACTGCGCTGCTCCTAAGAGCCAAGATACAAATCTATCTTTTTCTCCCTCACTATCTCTTTCCAACTTTGTCTTTTGTGTCTCAGTCAGCTGGTGTGGGACCTGGGAGAGGCCCCAAACCACTGTTCCTTCTCTTCTGTCTTCCTTTATGTATCTCCCAATTGCTCCCTTCTTCTAATCGCATTGCTCATATTCCATTGACAAGAAAGAAAAGAACGAGAAAAAAACATAGCAAACTTTCTAAATCCCATTGACCTACTTAGCCAGACATTTCAACGGGAATTTATATTGGAAAGGAGTGTTTTCTCAATCCTCCATCTTCATCACGCTTGTTCTTTCTCGCAGCTCGAAGTCATTTTGGTCACATTTTTTATCCCGAGCGTTGCACAAGTGGATAAATGCATTACCGTGGCTAACACAACTAGCTCCTCTCAAAGCCTCTGTCCCCTGCTTTTGACAGTGGCCTAAGCAGCGTGACATCGGAGTTATAAAAAGTGCGGCGGATTGGCCTCATCTCTGATTGATGAATTTCGCCGGGCAAAAAGAGATTGAGGAGGGTGGATATTGCCAAGCCCTTGAAGACAGGAAGTGGAATTATGAGAGAAGCAAGGAATGAATAGAAGGCAATTCAAATCTATTCTTTTAAGTTGGTTTCCCGAGGGACCGGCGATGACCCTGCTAACGACTATCGAGATGCTGTTCCCTTGAGTGCGATGGCGCCGTGTGATTGGGAGTGGGTTAACAGAAGTGCCTGGAAGAAAATTGAAAGCGTTTGGAATATTCAGCTTACCCCTCGTGCTGGCTGGGAGTGCGGAGATTGGTATTCATGACTGGTATGTGTGCGGTAGCCCAACAGTGGAGGAAAGTACCCCCCGATGTGAGTGTGTGCGATGGCCAATGAGGCGGTCGTCTCGTGGGAGCGGTGTTGGAAGTGTGGGAAAAAAGGGTGAAGGGGGGGAAAAAATGAATTTATAGGAGCCATAAGAATAGCTGGAATGAAAAGGACACTACAGTTACGAGATCCAAGCAGAGAGACTAATGATGTGGACATAACCTCTTACTCCCCATATGCAAACACAATGTCAT